ACAATGTGTGTGAATGAATGTATATAAAGACAGAAAATGGTGTCAGCTGTCTTCCGGATTCTGTCTGATTATTTACTGTTGCAGGGTCTTTCACTGAACCCAGAGCTTGAGGATTCAGCTAAACTAGCTATCCAGTAGCTTGCTTGGGGGTATTCCATGTCTCCACTGCCCAAGGGCTAGCATTCCAGGAAATGGCTTCCCCTGCTGGGAATTCACAAAGATTCTGAGATCTTTCTAAAGCCTAGCAAGTGCTTTAACCACTGAGCTGTTTCCTAGCCCTTAACAAAAGTATGGTTTACACTGGAGTAAGAACAATCCTTAATTCATAGGCAGGGTAAAGATTTGTGTGTGTGTGTGTGTGTGTGTGTGTGGATATCAGTAACATTCCTATCCTAAATAATTACATTTTATATCTCTTGAATCTTGGAATTGGGTTAAGTGCTCCATGTAGAGAGCATGACCTTCTTACAGAATGCCTGAAGATCCTGGGCATCAGAGACTGTATTTTAATTCATTAAGAGATATTGCTAAAGGCACACTGTATATATTTTTAGAAGCTCTTTTCCACAATTTAAATGCTAACTTATATATTAGTTACTTCTACAAAAGCCATTTGAAAGAAGAAAGCTTTATTTTATTTCAGGTCTCTTGAGGATATAGTCCATCATGTTAGGGGACACATATTTGTGAGAAGGGCTCATAACTGGGCTAGTGGGAATATGAGGCAATTCCCCACACTTTATAGACATCCAGGAAACAGAGTGGGCACATAACTGTTAACCTTCCACCCTTCTGCTTACTTCTGTTGGGTCCTGGAAGGTCGTGCAAATGGTGAAGGGACAGTCCACCAAGTCTATTAAACCAGAAATAAACTTTATTCCAGAAAAGAAAAAAGAAAAAACAATCTCCATGGGCATAGCAATAGTTGTGACTACAGCCAGAGACTGAACTTCTGTAGCTGTGTCTGTAGGTGCTGGTTTTAGGCCTCTTTTTATAGTAAAATCAACTCCAGATTCAAAGAGCTTTTACAACCTTGAGGTCAGGCTTAACATCACAATACATCTTAAATTTTACAACTTTTGGTTATAAGATATCAACTTATGATGTTTGTCAAAGTTTGTGGCTAAGACAGCCACTTTTCATTGTCCCTGAAAGAATGCAAGACAGAGAGAAGAGTCAAATGGGGGCACAGTTAAACATTAAGGGAATACAATCAGAGGGTCTATTGAAGCAATAGTTAGAAGCTAACCTTTGTCCTTAATGCCTGCATAGCTGGGAAGCTGGGAGGTAGGGGACAAAAGTTTACCTCAATACACAGTGGCTTCCAGAATATCTGTTCTAAAGGCAGAAAGTGTTTGTTAAAGGTTAACAGTTACTACCAGCTTTCTTTCTTTCTTTCTTTCTTTCTTTCTTTCTTTCTTTCTTTTTCCCAAAATATGTTTGGGCTCACAAATTTATATTTTTATATTTCTATATTCCTATTTCTAGAACCTACATTTCTATATTCTTATTCTTGTACTCTTTATTTCCTCGATTTTAACTCCACTTTCTGAAGCTTAAAGAGCCTTCTTTAACAGTGCCACCATCTTGGAATCAACTAATGGAACTTGGTGCCAGATAGGGACGAGTAAGTTCACATTCAAACCATAATATTCTCCAGGCCCACATTTCCTATCTGTGATAGAAAAATGAAATACCATACTTGATTCACACAGCTGTGAGGTTTAAATATACTAAAGCTCATATGGTGTAAAGCATAAAACCTGGGTTGTAGTCATTTTTGGACTGATGCCACCTCTCATTGTGCTTGCTATTAATGTCTTTTCTTTCCCTTAATCTTTCTGGGCACTTAGGTACAAGAGCAGAACATGAGACTTGCAACAGATACCTGGGATTAGTGACTTGTGTCTTTGGTAGAAATCATGTCGAGGAAGAGGCTGGGGACAAATTGAGAGGGCAGTTTACATGAGCAACTGTGATGGTCAGATGTGGTGGGGCTGTGTAGCTTATATTAGGGTGTTTGGAAAGTAGCACATCCACAGCAGAGGAATCTGCTATAGTGGCTCTCAGAATCCTATAGATTCCCCCCTCTGACTCTATTGCTTCCAGCTGGCTAAGGAATTGACCCTCCCCTTTATCAGTTGCAACATTCAGGAAAGAAGGCCCTGTACCTCATCTGGGCAGTGTAGTGGAGCTGACCATGTTGATGGAGGCTGCAGGTGTGCCACCCTCAGAATGTGAGCATAAGAGATCTGGCTTCCCCCTTCATCTACGACATGGTGGCCTGGGTGGGAGAGATATGCCCTCCCCCTTTCCCCCTCACAGCTGAGGTGAGTAGGAGAGCTGGTCCTGAGTTCATAAGACCTGGAAAGCTGCCCCTGCCCCTCATCTGCTGAAGCACTCAGGAGAGCAGGCCCTGCACCTTGTCCGGGCAATACAGTAGAGTGGACCCTGATGGTGCATGAAAGCAGGAGGATTAACCCCGCCACTTGCTCATGCTGCAAGTGATGAACTAATTGGGGCAATGTGGGAGACCTCACCCTGTTAATGAAAACAAGGGAGAGATGGTGGATTAACCAACCCTGCAACTACCCAGGCCCAGAACCAGGGTTATGAGTTGACCCACCCCAACATCCACACCATCTGATCTGGTGGAGAATGTGAAAGGGGCTGGTCCTGCAGGCTTAATGATGCAGGATCTTTATGACACAAGGCCATAACGTGATATCCAAGAAGAGTCCCAGTGAGTTCCCAGCATCCACAGCATAGCAGAAACCAAAGGCCTTGAGCCAGACCAATTGAAAGACCCCCGGAGTAGGGGAGACTCTCACTCAAGTCTCAGGATAACATGACCCCCCAAGAACTCATGAGAGACCATCCTTGCTGCAATCACACAAGGTTTATTGACAGGAACCAGCGTGCTGGGGCCGAGACTCATATCCCACACAGGTTAGAGGAGTACGACCCCGAGTAGCTGGGAGAAGGAGTATTTAAGAGAAGAAACCATAACCCAAAGGGAGTAGGGAGGGCATCATTGGAAAATTCCAAAAATACTAGTGATAATCACAAGGGGGTAACTCCCCGTTTCTCAAGATTATTCTCAAGATTATAATCTAACTTTATGGTCAGCTAATTCCTGGAACAGAGTCACTAAACCAGCTAACCTAGATTTTTGGCTCTACTCTTCCTGGTCCTTCACAGTGACTCTTTACAATGAACAAGATAATATGAGTAAAAAGGTTTACCACCAGACTCACTGTGTCACACTACAGCTTCTATGAAAAGATTTTGTTTTGTTTTCTTTTTCCTCTTTAATTTTATTTTGATGGGGAGGTGGCAAGGGCAGAGGGTGGATATAAAGGGATGGGGAAATGAATGGGATCTAGATGATTGATGTGAAAGACACAAAGAATAAATAAAAATAAAGTATAAAAAAGAATCCTGTAGATATGGCAACCACATAACATAGTGATGTTCTGATGAAGTGAAGTCCTGTGAGGACTGGGGTGATGGGAGTGGTCAGAGTAAGTGAAAGTAATTAGAATCAGAGAGGTTATGGGGGTAGATGGAGGTTAATGAACAATTTATGGTTTCTGTCTGATGTCATGTGGTTCCCATGGTATACTAAATGTGGTGAAGAATTCCTGTTAGCCAGAAGTCATTGCACAAAGCATCTAGTGGTGTGATCAGCATAGAAGAGGCTTCCAAGGAGAGTGGGAAGTCAGGAGTTGTGATGTGACTGCATGGGCAGTCAGAAGACCCATTGTTATGGTGGGTTTTAATTTTTAACTTAACACATTCTGAAATCACCTGAGAAAAGTCTCTATGTACATCTGTGAGGGATTGTATTGAATGTTGTGGTTGGTTATCAGGAGGCTTGCCCACTGTTGGCAGCACCATTTCCTTCACTTGCTATTCTGGGCATTATGAATATACACAGGGTCAAGGAACTAGAATACATGTATTAATACACTGCTCTGTGCTCTTGAATTTAGATAAATTGTGACTAGTTATATTGAGCTCCTGCAGTCTTTACTTCCCTACAGTGATGAATTTTAAGCTCGAATTTTGAGACAAATAAACCCATTCTTCTTTAATGGTATTTATTAGGTTATGTTATCATAGCAGCAGTGAAAGAGACTAATACTTCATCTGCCAAGCACCTATTCTTCAATTTATTAGGTGTTAGAAGGATCATCCTTCTGCAAGGCTTGTAGTACAGAATATCTTGGAATGGCTTTTAGGAGATATGTTTTGACTCCAAGAATGTTGTGCTTCAAGAAGAGGGACAAAATTGATAAGCAGGGACTGTGCATTCTTTGACAGATCATAACATTTTAATAAATTCATCCTAAACTAGAGAATTTATTCCCAGTCTTGATTAAAATGTGCCAAAAATAAAAGACAATGTTTATACAGTACAGTGTATCAAAAGAAAGTTAATGACAAGGTGGATACATGGGAATCATCCAAAAGCAGGATTCTAGCTAGCAGGAAATACTCAAGCGCTCAGCTTCATCTTCCTGTTTCTTCTTTTCTCTCTTCCCCTCCTCTCTCCTCATACCCACCCCCATTTAAAATTAATTTAGAAAACAAAACAAAACTTATAAACCGTAGGGAAGAGCCAACCTAAATGTGCCAGCCTGACTGGCAATTTTAAGAGTATGAAGAGATATTTATGTCACTTGTAATTCAATTACAGAACACCACTGTACCTGCAAAATTCAAGAACAAGTCATAAGGACTTGAATAAACGCTCTACAAACCACTTATTTGAGGTAATGTGTTGCTGAGTTAGATTTTTATATAGTCTGCCCAATAGGAATGGATATGAATCTGTGAAGTTCAAACTGTTTTGCTGCACAGACCCTAGCAATGCTACCAACCAGAGATATACCCCCAAGAAAAACTACAGGCATAAAATAGAAGTAGTTTAAAGGGGAAGGAAGGCCTGCTTCTATCTCTATGATAGTTCATCTTCTCTTTTCCTTTTCTTTCAGACTATCCATGTGGCTATTGTCTGTGCAGGATACAATGCTAGCAGAGATGTTGTCACCTTGGTCAAGTCGGTCCTCTTTCACAGGTAAGAAGTCTTTGCTTGTACTCCTGTGGATTTGTGTATCCCTGACCACCTGCATGATGCCTTGGAGAATGTTATAGAAGAGTGTGCTTTTGACCCATTTAGATTGCCATGAAAATGTATTTTTTCTCCAAAATATGAGGAAGGATGTTGCATTAAGAATGCTTAGTAGCTAGCCGGGCGATGGTGGCGCACGCCTTTAATCCCAGCACTTGGGAGGCAGAGGCAGGCGGATCTCTGTGAGTTTGAGACCAGCCTGGTCTACAGAGCTAGTTCCAGGACAGGCTCCAAAGCCACAGAGAAACCCTGTCTCGAAAAACCAAAAAAAAAAAAACAGAATGCTTAGTAGTAGGTGTTTAGTGTTGCCCAGCCATGCTTAGATTCAGAACTATGGGAGCCTCCAAGGACATCCCAACTTAGATGCTTCAGTTTCTACTACCCCACAGTTCTTTTTCTATATTCCTATTGGCGGATTATGTTGTGATCTGCACCACATCCCATCTGAAATTCGTATTAAAGTTTTAACCCTTAGTACTTTGAAATAAGACTGTTTGTAGATATTTTTTTTAAAGATGGGATTAAAGTAGGCACACTATGGTGGACCCTAATTGAATATGACTAGTGTTCAAAATATAAGATTAGTACAGACACATTCAGAAGAAAGACTGTGAAAGTACCTAGGCAAGGAACTTGACTTCCCAGGCTTCAGCCTTCCATCTCCTAGAACTGTGGCAAAATGCGTTTCTGTTTCCAGCTAGTCAGTTGTTTTAATTTGCTGTGGTACTTGGTTATTATAAAATAATACCCAAGGTTGACTTGCCATTTTTCTGAGTACTTCTGGCTGTCAGAAATCCTTCTTTGTGTTAAGCTAAAGGTAATATCTGGTAGACCTTTTGGATCTCCATTAGACAAGTTTGAAGTTGGATTTTTTTCCACTTAGAAGTAGAGATACCTCCGAGGTGTCATCTTTTTTCTATGCTTCTGCTTTTTTTATGGACCTTTCTTCCTTCCCTTTGATATTCAGGTTTATTACCTGGAAATACTTGAGGTCACCTCTAGAACTGAGTCTGCAGTTCCAGGCAAAGCCCTGTTCTGACTTCTCATCAAAGATGTGGATAAAGCTCATCTGTAGTTACAACCTATTGTATAGACAGATACCTATGAGAAGATTGAGTTAGGCTTCTGCACATTCTCTATAGAAGGAACCTTTTAAGAATAATTCTCAGTTCACCTGAGTAGAGAACACAGCATAGCCAGTCAAATTCACCACCTAGATCTACCAACGCTGCAAGAATTTGGATTTATCTTTTCTCCCACCTTCTATCTCAGTTTCCCAACCATTCCTTCTGTCTGTGGTACCATGCAGCGCTCACTCTTGGAGATATGTCAGGTTGTGTCTCTGCTCTCCATTAAGCTCTGGCCCACTAGTTGTTAACCTGCATATACCATTCCTGGTTCCCAGCTTTCTGTTCTTTATATCCATCCTCTCTTACTCAAGAATGGTGTTTCAGAAAGGAATGTCTGATCTTGCTGGATCTATTCATGACATTCAATGTTAAAGAGTCTAGAACTTTATTATCCCAATAGTTGGACAGTAAGGCACCAATACATTCTTCATAGTGTTTTCTTGATTGTGTCTGTGGTGCTTTTATGCTTTGCCATTCTGGCCTGGTTTTAGCTCCCTACTTTCTCTGTCATATGTCCTGTCAACCCATTCCTTCCCGAATTCCAAGCCATCAGTTGTCTTCTTACCTTATAAGATTTCACACAGGCACTAACTATAACAGAATGCCTCCTTACAACTCTCACTGTGTGTTTAATCACCTAGTTTATAGCCCACAATACCCTGCCTACATTTTTTATCATACTTATTATGGTAATCCCTATGTATCTATCTATAATTCCTTCTGTAGCAGAATACAGGATATTTGGAGACAGAAACCGTGACTTATTTCTATTTATCTCAGATACTTAGAAAACTACTAACTAGTAAATGTTCATTTGTTTAGCAAGTGCTTTTGGGGAAGTCCTTTAATAAGAAATCTGAAGATACATATTTTTACCTAAGATACAAATCTACATTCAGTTCACATTCATGCCACTGTTGCACCAAGAGGCCTTCAGCAAATTACTTTAACCCATTGTTAGTCTGTTAACTTTTGCTGTAGATCAGGTTACTCCCAAGCTGACTTTTACTGTATTAATGTTTATTCATTACTGAACTCTGTGGCATGTCTCCTGTGCTGGTAACATTGTGTAGCTGGAATCAACTAGCTTGTTGACAAAAGATCACATTTCTTACCTTCCAGCATCGAGGATAGGCTGGAAAAAATGTGGTAACAAAGCAAAATATAACAGTAAGCAACAGTAGGTGGCAACTCTTCCTGCCTCTCCTGACACTGTGAAGCTATGATTTCTGTTGTATAGTATAAGAGATCATAGGAATGCCAGGTGCAAATTGACTGAGTCTTCCCATGTGAAGCCAAGTGTCTGAAGAATATGACTGTATTCACTGTGCAGATTCTCACATTTGTGATCCCCATACCCTCATTGCTGAATGCAAGCAGGCACTATGAGGACTGATCATAAGTCAGATGGGAGATTCTTAGCCATGATGTCATTATTCCTTGTCTGTGGTCCAATAGAATGTCCCTCTCTGATGAAATCCAAAAGCCTGTTCATTGTGGAATGAGTGTGTGTATGATTAAAGATATTTATTTTTTTCTATGCCTCAATCATGATAAAATTTCAAATCTGTGATATTGTTTTTCAGCAAAAGTTTCCTTCCTGTTGTTTTAGTTACACATCACATAAACTAGTAGTTGTTGTAACTAAGAATTCTATCAAGAATAAACTTTTACGTCAACAATCTATACAGCACAAAGATGTTTAATTTTAGAATAGCAGTTTTATTGGCAGCCTTGAAGGCATATCGTTTTTCCCATCCTTCCATGGAGCTGTTCATATCCAAGAAGAAATGTTGTTATTCATGTGTGTAATGAAGATGAAGACTGCACCTTGGCAATGAGTACTTGGCTGTTCTGTGCCAGGTGGCCTCTGGAGTTCCTTCCTCACGTTGAAGTGATACAAATAAGAATAATTGTGATTTGATTTGCTGCTGGTCATGATTTGGATATTAAAGCTGAGACTCTCCAGCAATAAATAGCTTTATTGTCATGAAGCATGTTATGGGGATTAACTAAGTTATGATTATAAAATATGTTGACAATTGAATTATCTTCCTAATGTTAATAATAATAGAATAATAGTGGGATAGAATGCTCCTTTTGGTTGTCACTGTTAATTACAGCAGTTAGATTTATTTTCCAGACAAGATTTTCATTTAAGTCTTGCTGTGTTATGTCAAATCAATTTTACTTCTATAATATGCTTGGTGACAGTACAGTGGACATGCTCTCTTTTAAAAGATAGTAAGAGACTGGCATGAACAGTTACATACCAGTGTGACAGAGAGCATTCTCCAACCTTCTAGAAAGAAATTTCAGAATATCTGTCACAAAGGACGATTCACAAAGGACTGCCAATGCCATCACTGGCTCTTTTCTTTGCCTAAAGTTGAAGTTGTGTTGTAAACCTAATAAATAAAGATTATCTCTGCTCCAGGGGCATTTTGTATTTTTAATGAAAACAATCCTTGGATTGCCTTGTGGGACTTTTGGCACTTTCCTTGCAAGATAAGGAAGTGAGGCAGGAGGGAAAGCAATGGTTTACTCATCTTTAATTTCTGCCATGCTGTATTTATTATACCCCGACCTTGAACACGGGAACATTTAGGAAGCAGAGGCAACAGAAGTGCTGCTCAGTAAAAGTGTAGTCTGAAGGATCTTCTGGAGAAAGGTGCATTTCCTTGCCTACATGGGAATACTCGTTCTCACACACATGAGGCTACTGGGTATTAGGATATGGACCAAACCATCTATGAAGGAAGAGATCTTTTTCCATGGGCCTAAGGCTGTACTTTTGAAAATATATTTATAGTGATTGGTATAAAAAAAAACAGAAACCATCTAACTTAGATATGATGCCATCATAAAACTAAAGAGCCTTACATTATATATTGGTTATTCTTCATGAGTTTTTATTAACTTCAGTTTGTGAATGTTCCTTTGCTATAAATGTGTTCTTAACATCTATCTACATGATGCTCACATTCCCTTTACACAAAAGAAAAAACAGAATCTACAGTCTCTTGTAGATTGTGGTATTTGCAAGACTCTATCATTAAATCAATTCTTCCTGAATTAAAGTCAAAGGTAAAGGAGACTCAGAAGCCACCTGTGTAGAAGATAAAAACATTCCCTTTATTAGTTATTCTTGAGTTATAGATATCACTAACCATGGGTGCCATCAGGCTGTTTTCTGTAACCTCCAGAACTGGATATACCTTCTGGTCACAGCCCAGCCTGGAAATACGCAGGCTCTCCCACCTAGTCATCTGTGTACCATGTGGGCTAGGGTTTCCAGTGCAATGAAGGATCTAGAGCAGCCGAGCAAAGCAGGCTAACCCACTCACACACTCAGAGAATAGACTGTCGTTCTATTCTCAGACAGACAACAAACCATTTGTATAAGAATATTCCCATAATGTAACTGTACATTGAAAGAGAAACATTCAGGATTCCCCATAAATTTATCATTATTCAACTATCATAACCCTTGACTATTAGGCCCTTTTCATTGATAAGATGAAAAAAGATGCCCCGTATCTATATAATCACTCAAATCACCACTCCTGTGTCTCCTCTCTGTCCGTAGACTTTCCTAGTCTGCACGTTTTATTGCCATGTACATCATTTAGTATTTAGTCTTTCTTCAATGGCTTCTCTCCCTTCAAATGAGATTTCATGATTCTTCCATGACATGAAACTTAGAAATTTATGCCCTGGGAATGCTGAAGCATGCATGGGCAGCCCATATGTGGCAGTTCTGTTGAACTTGTCCATATTGGGTTTCATGGTCTAATTTGATGAGAATGACTGACC